TTAGGAGTAGGAATAGGGATACGAATATGACTACGAATGCGAATACGAATACGAATATGAATACGAATAGTATTATGAGTAGGAATAGGGATACGAATACGACTGCGAATGCGAATACGAATACGAATACGAATACGAATAGGATTAGGATTAGGATTAGGAGTAGGAATACGAATACGAATGCGAATACGAATACGAATAGGACTACAAATATAAATACAAATACAAATATAAAATATAAATATGAATATGATTAAGAATAGAAATACGAATACGAAGGCATGCATCTAGGTTCATTTAAGCGTAACACCACTAGGATATCAGAATACCTGGTTCATATAACAAGTACGAAAGGCAATCAAACATTACATCAAAATTCAACAACTAAACTTACTTTTAGGAAAATATAGGATTTTCCTGGGATAACAATTGTACATAACCAGATTTGTGTAATAAAACAGTTAATCAAACTTTACATATAAGAAAATATGGGATTTTCTTGAATAACAAACTTTTCGGAAAACCAAAGGAAACTCGTACATTTTCAGAAAACAAACATCTTATGAACTCACCAGCTTTATGCTGATTTTCAAATTGCTTGTATTATCAGGTCAACATTAGACAGGTACCTAGCGATCCTTTTGGAGAAGACGGAGCGTACAGAAGACTCGTCTCTACTTTTGTTCATATATATGTATAACACTTGTAACACGTTACTTTTGAACATATGTAAATTCTAATATGTAATGTAATGGTTGTTTACTTTGCTTACTATGTGCATTGGATTTGATACTCAACGTGGAGTCCGCCCTGGAAATGTTTCTGCCTTAAGTTTTAGGGGTGTGACATCCTCTCACCTAGAACAATAACGTCCAATAACTATAATGTCAGTTTCATGCTTAAGCTAATGAAGGCACTTTGTTAAGTAGATTCAACAAACTTGATTTGTATAAACTTTGTGAATACTAACATTTTCAGTTTTATTTATATTTAATATATAGAGAAAACTTATTGAGAATGTTTTAGATTATTAAATATGACTTATATTCCAATACTTGCATACATGGATTACCCATAGTCATAAATGAACTAAACATTAACCATCTTTATATTTTATTCCCAGAATAACAATGTATTCTTATTCTGTAGTGTAACTGTAATCAAAATCTACATCAACATCATATCCATGTAACTTTCTCTTCACTCATAAGAAGCACACTCCCGATTGTTATTGAGGATCATATCAATATATTTAAAGTTTATTATATGTGTAACATTTAACATATATATTTCTTTCAAATATTTCGTAGATTAGGAATATTTCTACAATCTTCGTAAGTATTTTAGAATGTTCCTATCAGTTATACCATGAAATTTTCTTGGATTATCTTGGTATTTATTCTGAGACGTGCTCAAAATGATGTCATGTGGTATTTAAATCATAAACTCTCTTAGAGTTTTATATCTTAAACTCTTTAAGATCTTGACAATTAATGGGATTCTACTTAATCTTTTTAAGTTGCCATTTTATATCTGTTTAGATCTTAATTCCAAGAATTAGGATCTCAACTACATATAGGACTAGGGAGGTTAATGTAATCCTAGTAGCTTTTAAAAAAACACAAGAGTCATGTTTATTTATAAATAAATCACACTATGTAATTTTCTTATAAGAAAGAAGATTGTTACTTATGAGATGCTAGCTTAAATTTGAAAAGATTTTCATCCATGTATGTTTTCTCCTTTGAAAATTCATTAACTTTTTATAGTGATACTATATCGAGGAAGATTTATCAATCCCATACTTGATTATAATACATGAATTCATCTCTATGTGTTATATTAGTTTTTTATCAACTATAGAATAGTCCAGTAATTGTTGAAAAACTTGTGTAATGCCCTAAAAATCATGACATAAATTTTTTTTATTTTTGGGATTGGTAAATTGTTAAGAAATATTTTTCCCGTAAAATCAAAGTCATTAAGTCTAAACTAAACATCATTAAATCAGAGTAATTCATGAGTGTCGAACATGTGGTGTGTGTTATGCAATCATTCTGAGCCCTTCCGTTTGAAAACTAGAGTACCTGAAACATAAACTGAAAACCGTAAGCACAAAGCTTAGTGAGTTCCCAAAATACCATATAACACACAATCAACGAATATCATGCAACATACATGTAATTGCCATGGACTCCCCCACATGGTCTTTATCCGGAATGTCATGGGCTCCACCCATGGTCTTTGCCTGGAATGCCATGGGTAAACCCCATGGTCTAATATCCAACTACCTCGGTGATGAATTAAAGAATCGAGTATGCAATCAATCAGAGTAGATGTTTAAGAATGAATGAGTAATTGAACACAAGATGTAAATAAGATTTCGCTTCAGCTCAATTATGCTTTAAGAGTTCTATAGAGATAATAGACAATGTTGTTCAAGTTATCTAACTCTAGTAAAATGATCCTATTTATAGGATACATAAAGCGTACAAAAAATATACTAAGGCTATAACACTTAAGCTTCGAACTAAAAGAGCCCTAGTAAAATACATTGCAAATTATACGAAGAGTACAAAATAAGGTTCTACTCATTACAACCAAACTACCCTTACAATCTCACCCTTTGTAATCAAAGTCGAAGACTTCAGTTCGTAAGCAGTTGAATGGAATACAACATTACTCTTCGTATCTTAGTGTACCATAAGATAATCTTCTTAAGTTCCTTTTTATATCCTTCGTTATTCTTCTTACAATGATTCATATGAATAATTAAGTTCATATATTACGAAGTTGAGTACCTTTCTACCTCACTAGCCTAGAACAAAAAACGTTTTGATTTCCCAGACTTGTCCTTCCCAGAGAAGACTAAACCAAATGGCTTCAAGCAGATTTCACCATCAGCATACTTCTATAATTATGCTTGTGTCTTTGAAGGATCCATGGGAGCTGTAATTTCCAATCCGTTAGTTGTATCTAACTCCACATCAGTTAATGCTAAGCATTCATAATAATTTTCAATAAAAATCTTGATGTGAATAACTCCCAGCATGTACTCATCTGGATTAGTGTTCTGAAGATACGAAAAAGATCTTTCCTTCAGCAGTTGTATAAGATAACATGAAAGGAAAGTCAGAAATTGTAAACTCACAAACATTCCCATTCGCCCTGATCACCACATACTTCATATTTTGGATTGTGTTTTCGAAAACCACATCCTTCTCTATGCTGATAACTTTCTTTATCTTTGTCAATTACCACACTTTTTTAGCTGGTTTCACAAGAACTGCATGAAACCTAATTTTCATGTGAGTTCTTTCATCCTTCTCCTTGAACTTGCTTTTGGATTTGAACTGGGGCATGATGAACATCATCTCAGTAATTCGAAAGTCCAATTGGCTTGCATCGGTATTCATTACAATGTAACTCTGTTTTGGCTTCTTTTCGAACAAATACATGTGATTAAATGTAACCTTGGCTTCATTTGTTTCATAATTGTAATGCTTTGATGGATCACCTTTATTCATGACAAGAGGATCACTTGCTCTTTGAGTCATTATACTTTGCACTAGTCTCATTCTCTCTAGTTCCGCCTCAACCTCAGCCTTCTTTTCTTCCTTAGATTTTTCTATCAGAATCGATTTTCCTCTTGCCTTAAAAGCTTATTCTTCTATCACTTCTTTTACCTTCGAATCACTCCCAACAATATCAGCAGATTTACCAATCACAATTGCTTTCAAAATTGGTCTTGTGATTGGCACAGTTGTTACTACTGTCGAAGAAACAGGACCAACAGTCGCTATAACTGTTTTTGTTGTTGGAATCTTTGAAGGAAATACTTTTCCCACCACCTTCGCATCATCACCTCCAACCTTCGAACCTTCACTTTTCCTTTCTCCCCCTTGCACCCCTGTACTAGCAGGTGGGGCATCTGTTGTGGGAAAAAGGTTGGAGATGCGGGAAAGAGGAGCCAACTGTTGGATAAGAAAGGCTTCGAACTGAGAAAACTTCTTGATAAGATCTTCTGAAGATAGTAGAGAAGACGAATTTGGTGTTGAAGATAAGGCTTTGAGCTCCTTTAACAGTGTGAAAACTTCCATAAAATTCTTGTTTTCATTTGTAGAAAGTTGAGCTATTTGAGGACTCAAACTTTCATACAACATGGCAAACTTTGTTACAGAATCACAAATGATATCCACCTTCTGATTTAGAGATGAAAATTTTGTACGAACAGTTGAAATCTCTTTTTCCATGTCTTGGCGAAGCTCTTGAAGTTTAAAATTCACATCTTCTCTCACCTTCTTAACATCTTGAACAAATAAGACATGACGTTCCTTTGCCACCAATTTTAACTCTTTCAAATCACCTTAAAAAGTAGACTTCTAAGAATTTACCCTCATCTCATTGCTATGATCACAAATATCAATTTTCTCCAAGAGACGAGACTCAGAATCTTTGATCATTTCCGAAAACTTTGAAGTAATCCTCCCTTCAAGCAATTTTAACAGACCATCAACTTCTAAACTGGTTACTGAATTACCTCCCCGAAGATCTGCCTTTAATTGAAGAATTGAATTGAGCTTTGTATTTAAGATCTTGAATTGCTTCATGTTCATTAGCATGTGATATGGGAAATTATTTTCTTCTTCATCAAACTCCAAATTTTTAAACGTCCCTCTAAAACCTTCTGATTCATGCTCAGTTTACATAAAAATTGAATCTTGAATTGGTGAAGTTGTCATGGGTGGTTCAGTGGATTGTGAAGAAAAAAGAGATGTAATTGGTTGTTTGATAATGTTTTCGAATGTAGGAGAATCAGTGGTGGAAGTAGTAGGAATTATAGGTGTGAGTTGTGGAGGAAAAGAAACAACAATTTCTAAGGTAACATCCGAAGCTTTACCTTGGTCAACTTTATACGAAGCATCCTCACACATGATGACATTTGCATCCGTATTAGATACATTTACAAGAATGTCAGAAGTCCGTGCCTCCTCAGAAACTCACTTGGTAACCGAATCTTCGGGTGGTATAACATATGTTTGTGTAGGAGTAGAAGATTCTTTGTGAAGATCGGCTTCTGGAGTTTCTGGAATTGTTTCATCTTCATGAACAGCATACTCAGAAGAGATGATCATTTTACTTTTCTTCTTCTTCTTAGAAATGTGTTTAGCCATATCAGTTGCCCTTGGTTTCTTTGAAGATGGTGAAGCAGGTGCAGGAATCTCACGAAGTAAAAGTCCTTGATGAGTAACCTGTGGCTTTCGGACAACATTCGTGAGAGGAGATCGGCTCTTGTGTTTGGATTTCATTTTTATTCTGCGAAAAACACCAGTCTTCGAAGGAATGATTTCTTTTTCAGTTGATGGTGTATTAGCAACTAAAACTTCGGGTTTTGTTGGCTCTGCTTCTGTAACTGGTAACTTCTTCAGAATCTTCGTAGATTTGGACTCCTTGACTTGTTTCTCAAAAGAACCAGCATCAGTCTTCTTCGAACGTTTGGACTTCATCTCGTCCCTTTCCAGGAGAATTCCAGTTTCAACAGTTGTATCGATTGTTTGCAAGTAAGTCACTAAAACTGTGTTTGTAGGATCAACTCGTTTAAGCAAGGCATCTGGAATACGAGCAACAACTGGAAATTCTTCAGTACCATCAGTTGCACCCTTCGGACAACTATACACATGGATAACAGCTTTTTGTTCATCTGTAGGAACCATAATTCCCTCCTTCTCATAGAAATATTGTAAAATCAAGCTCCAGTATCGGGCACACGAAATGCCATGAAGAGCATTCATGTTTTTAATACTCTTCATGAATTCTTTCCATAACTGAGTAGAGTAATCGAATTGAAGATCATAATATAGCCCTGTGACCATGGAATAAACCTCCATTCTCCCCTTGTCCAATCTAATGGTTCTTCCAGTTAAACACCTCAGGAAAATGCAAAACAATAAATTCCAAACACTAGGAAGACCCGACTTCTTGAAGTCACTTATCTTTAACAGTTGAGGTTGATGACCCATTTCATTGAACATATGTACAATTTGTGGAAACGTAAAATTAACATATGGTGGGGAATTAGGGATATCAAGAATCTGATAGAAAAGCTTCTTTGATAGTCTAACCTTTTTATCACTCACCAGATTGAAAGTAACTACATCCAAAGCTTTCGAATAAGTAGTTGTTGATCCATCTTGAGAGAGTCATGAAAGAGGAACAGAAAACAAATTGAACATGGCTTTTGACAGTACAGATCTTTTCAAAGAAACGATTTGCATCTTGAGTTCTTTAGGATATTGAGAAACACCTGCCTGTACTTGGTAATTTGTACCCTGAATCTTCATAATCGGCAACGAGATAACATCATCAGTGGTGTGAGAAAGAGTTGCATCAGGATTATCAGCAGTCGCCATTGTTAGGGTTTGAGAGCTAGATTTTTATCAGAGAGTATTTGGGAATATGAAAGTGTAAAATGATAATGAACCCTTGAATCCCCTTTTATATGTAACTCTTGATTTTGAAATCAAAGAGGGATGAGCATTTAATGAACTGTGACGTGTCACCGAGAAAACAGCATCATGATGATGAAAAAGTAACCATGTGTGATAAAGTAACTGTCACATCTCCTCAAAACCCGGACATAATACAAATAGTCCCCTCAAACACGCTGGATTGTTTGTCCCAATGGAGTTGTAACCGTCAGCACTTCGTATGGAAGTAAGGCTCTTTTACTTTAGGGTTTCAAAGTAAAGTCATTTGCCAGATTTTTGAAATCATCAACCTGAGTTGGTGTTACTCAAAACCTCAAGGATTTCATGTGTGTAGTGTTTCAAAGAATATGGATGAGAAGCAACAAAAACATTTTTGGATAGTCAGTGATGTCAAAAATTCAATTTGACACGAAGGCAGTTAAAACCATGGGCAAAGATTGCTTCATTAATTATCAATAGAGATAATCAACAGCTTGTGTAAGCTCCGGTGAATTACAATCGAATGCTTGTAAAGAAGTATCGAAGGGCTTCTTTTAAAAGGCTTTTAAGGTGGCTTAAAGAATTTCGTTACATATCAACCTAAACATAAGGTGAGTAAGTGTAACATAAATTACTTGTTTGACCAGTGTAGTCAGTGACAAGTTTGCTTTGAAAAACTTTTAAGTAACATTGAAGTTCGGATAAAACTCACACTGAAATCATATTCAAGGAAAAAAATTGTGTTCTGGATCCTGTTGGGTAACAAACATCATGGCTTTCGAATGTTTGAACAAGACCACACATAAGAAATGAATATGATTTGGAGTTTCAAATTAAGATACAGAAACAAATGTTTCGTTAAAGCCTGGAACGTAGTTCCCAGTTAATTCCTTAAAGGCTGATTGATTTGGGTTTCACTTTCATCACGGTCTCATGATGTCTGATCATAAACACATATTTGTGATATATCTAGGTTTCGATTGGTTTGATCAGAAACCTGTTGGTCATATGTATTCATATGTGATACTCTAATAATTTTGAGATGAAAAAGATTGGTATAAGAAAGAACATGTACCTCTGTTATTGAACCAAACAGTAAACTCTTAACTCATGTGAATTCAAGCCTGATTGGGAAGAAATCTTCGTATGAAAATTTCATTAAGGCTTTCAAACATTGAGTCAATTAGAGGTGTTAGTCAACATATTACAGCATGCTACTAAGGACATCTTAACTAGTTCGAAGTGTGTGAAAAATACCTGACACTAGAACTGCAAGCATTACTCCAAAAGATAGAGCATGAAACTCTACAACAAATAACGAAAATGAAAGAAAAACAAAAATATTTTTGTTGTTTTTGAATTTTTGTAAACAAAAAAAAATCTTTTTGGTATTTTTTATTTTTCTAAAATAAAAAAATGTAACTGTTGCAAACATACGAAATTTAAAAAAATGACAAATATACGAATTCGAAGGATTCAAACAGTTGACTATGAACAGTAACCTTTTCTTTGATGACGTGTCTATGAACCATTTCTTTTTTACCATCATTCTCCTTTTTCGCATGGAACAGAATTTCCATCGATCATTCCTAGTCCTTTCAAAATTCTTACAAAAGATTTTTCATCTAAAGGTTTTGTGAAAATATCAGCTAACTGATGTGTTGTTTTCACAAAATGCACTTCAATATTTCCATCTTCCACATGATCCTTGATAAGTGATAACAAAGAGTAATGTGTTTAGTCGTTGAATGCTACATAGGATTATGACAAATTCTTATGGCACTTTGAGAATCAGAATATAATGGAATCTTTTTCATATTAATTGCATAATCCCGTAATTAGCTTTGAATCCGAATGATTTGTGAAGTACAAGCAGGAACAAATACATATTCTGCTTCAGCAGTTGAAATTGATACACATGTTTGCTTCTTCGACTGCCAGCTCACCAATTTTCCATTAAGCAATTGACAACCACCACTTGCGCTTTTCCTATCAAGACTACAACCTCCCAAGTCTGCATCTGAATAAGCTTGAACAAAGAACCCAGTTTTCGAAGGATACCATAATCCTAACGAAATTGTTCCTTTAAGATAACAAAATATATTCTTTACAGCAGTGAGATGTGGTTCTCGTGGATTTCACTGATACCTAGCACAATTACATACAAAAAACATGATGTCAGGTCTACTAGTACTAAGATAAAGTAACAAACCTATCATGCTCCTCTAAAGAGTTACATCAATTGTAGGTTTATCTAATGAATGTGTCAGCTTTATGCCAGTTACCATCGGAACTTGTAATTTTTTGCTATTCGTCAATCCAAACTTCTCTAGCAAATTTTTTGTATATTCTTGATTGATAAACATACCTTCTCTGTTTTGATGCATATTCAATCCAAGAAAATTATTGATTTTTCCCATCATGCTCATTTCAAACTTGCTTTTCATCAAATTTTCGAATTCACTTGACAAGGCAGGGTCAGTTGAGCCAAAAATTATATCATCAACATAAATTTGAACAAGCATTAGATGATTCCCAACTTTCTTTCGAAATAAAGTGGGATAAACTAATCCTTATTTATGTTTATATTGTTTCAAAAATGAAGTTAACGTTGTATATCATGCTCATGGTGCTTGTTTCAAACGATAAACGGCCTTATCTAAGATATAAATATGATCAGGATGTTATTCGTTAATAAAACTTGGGGGTTGTTCAACGTAAACAGTTTCTTCAAGCTCTCCATTTAAAAATGCGCACTTCACATCCATTTAAAAAAACATCAAAGTCTTTGTAAGCTGCATAAGCCAGAAATATACAAACATCCTCGAGTCTTGCGACATGGGCAAAAGTTTCTTCGTAATCTATTCCTTCTTGTTGAGAATAACCTTTAACAACAAGTCTGACTTTGTTTCAAATAATGTTTCCATATTTGTCGGTTTTATTTTTGAAAATCTATTTTAACCCAACAATCAAAACATCATTTGGCTTAGGAATTAATCTCCAAACCTTATTTCGTTCAAATTCAGACAACTCATATTGCATTGCAACAACCTAATCTGAGTATTCCATTGCAATCTTAACTGTTTTTGGTTCAATTTTAGAGATAAAAAAATTGAACATGCAAAATTCTTGATGAGTATTTAATATACCTCATTCTTCGCACGAATTTGAGCTCTTGTTAAGACTCCCTCTTGTGGATTACCAATTATTTTCTCCTTCGGATGATCCTTTTTCCATTTTTCCATTGGTGGATAAGTTGGATCAAGATCCAAAGGTGCATCTTCGTATAAATCATCATGTTCTGAATCTGCAATTGAACATGAATCATTAAGATCATGAAAATCTTCATTTTGTTCAACTTGATCCCCCTCAACATCAGCATTCACTCTCTCGATCTCCCCCTCGAAAGAATGCTCCCCCTTAACAATATTATTCGAATTCAAGTGCTCCCCCTCCACTGGATTAATATGCATACTATCATCCACAGTTTGCTGATGTGATGTTGAACTACCATTGAACTTCGTTGATTCAAGGATATGATTGTCATTGGCATTAACTTCAGCATCAATAGCCTGATCTGAAATTCCAAAAATCAAATCATAATCAATATCCAATCGCTGTAAAGGTTCAGATTCTTCAGGAATTTCTTTCAAAATAGGATGATTTTCAAAATGTTTTTCAGTTTGTTTGATATAATAATCATTAAATGTAAGATTGAATGTTTCTTCCACTTTTCGTGTTCTTTTGTTTAGCACTCGATAGGCGACTGAATTATGCGAATATCCAAGGAAAATCCCTTCATCAGCTTTTGCTTGAAATTTCGAAAGGTTGTCCTTAAGATTCATAATAAAGCACCTGCATCCGAAAACATGGAAAATTTTCACATTAGGTTTTCTATTATTGATTATTTCATATGGAGTGATATTAAATCGACAATGGATAAAAGATCTGTTTTGAGTAAAACATGCAGTGGATACAACTTCAGCCCAAAGGTATTGTGGAAGATTCACATATGCCAACATTGTTCTTGCGGCTTCTCA